AGTCCTATTTATTATATTTACAGATAGAAAATCAAAATAGACGTCACTAAATGAACTAAATTTACCAAAACTTACAGTTACTCAGAACTCAAAAATTTAATTAAAAATTAAAATAGTTTTGCCTAAAAATTTTCAGGGAGAGTTTCGTCGGGCATCAAATACAATTCCAGGCACTCAACACCTTCCTACCGGACAAATATTAAAACACCCATCGTAAGAACTGGTTTTTGTGGTTTTTAGATTGGCTCTAATATCACGAAATCTCAGGCTGATGAGTATGGGAAGAAGTTGATGGCCGAAAAAGAAGATCTAAAAATAGTTAATGATTGGCATTTAATCCCTTCGATGAAGTGGTATTTCTAGATTCTAGTATTTGCATGAAGCTTGGCACAGTGTTGTGCCAAATGGGTTTTCGATTGTCGATGGCTGAAACCATATATTGACATTGAAATGAAGTTGATCGAAATGAAAACAAGAGCAAAAATGTACAAGAATATGAGAAGTCTCCCGTTGTTTCATTTCCTGTTTGTTTAGAGAAAAAAGTTAACGTTCAAAACTTTGTCGATTCTTTCATACAAACGAAATTATTTCAAAGTCTTTCTTAATTTTCTTTCTCTATTTCTTTCCTATCCTCCTTTTCTTTTTCTTTCCTTTCYTTTCCTCTCTTCTCCTCTGCTGTGCTTTGCCCTCCGCTGCCCTTCTCCTTTTCTCCTCTTATCTATTCGTGATATCAGTTGTTCTTCCAAGATCTCGTTAAGTTTCTTCCAGAAAATAAAATCCAGATCCCTAACTCGATGGCAGTCAGAAAACTACAACGATTTCAAASATTTTTAAATCCCAAGAGAGAACTGTTTGTTTGATCAAAGTTATATAGATTGGTTCAACAGATCCTATACTTTAGAGAAATCTACTTTAGAGAAAGCTATGCAGAATATTAATTTTACAGAGTGTGATGTCTTTGAGAGAACTTGGAGCGATTGACTTSCACAAGACAACACCCGCCCCTCTTGCACGTACTGATTTAGTATCCTAATCCTTACGAGACACAA